AGTAACTTATCAAATACTATACATACCTTGAACATCGTGAGGTTCAGAAAATCTCAAATTGTTGATGTTTCTAAATTTCAATCTTAACTGGAAATACGTTTGAACCATAACTAGTAACACTCCGATTGCCATGTGCATGGTGAAAGTAGTAAAGTTAACGCCCTAAAAATGAAAACAAATGAAATAATATATCTATATACATCCAAAGCTATATTTATTGATGATTGTCTTATTTAAAAGAAAATGTAAAACTTACGTTCTGTGAAATGTGACTGTTAGAAGCGATAATAACATTTGGAGGATCGCCAACTGGTGTCAAAGCTCCGCCAATATTTGAGTAAATTATCATGGACATCAAGATGGGTACCGGATTTAGTTCCATGACTTCACATAACCTGTGGTGATAAATATAATTTTATATTCGTAGAATGGCACATTCATACATATATATCACAAAACAAACATCTAATACACATATTAGCATTTATGAAACATTGTAATTTTTTATTGATTTAAACAATGTGATAAATTTGTAACTAAGTGTTATTCTCGTATCATTACCTAGAATCTAGGTAATGATACTGCATAAAAGTATTTCAATTATCCTTATTCACCTTATTGTAACTGGTGTCATAAGCAGGACGGTTGTGACATTATCCAAGAAAGAACTCATTATCGCCGTGAAGAGACATAAACAGTTAATCAATGGCCATATTCTTCCAGATGTGATCTGCAATTTATTATTTTATCAACCATAATTCTTTTCAAATTATCAGAACAATATCGATCGAATATTTTACCTTGTATGCGTAAACTGCCAAAAAGTCAAAAATACCGGTTTCTGAGAAGATTGCGACCAAAACCATCATTGAGAAAAGCAAAAGAAGGGTTTCTACATCAATCCAAGAAATCAACTCCGACATTGTTGGCCTTTCATTCAATGCTGCTAAAATAGCAACGCTCATTGTTGATGCCAAAATTGCAGCAAATGTACGATGAACAATCTGAGAATAATAGAAAATTTAGAATTAGCATAAATAAATAATACATTATTATCCACTTGATAGAAAAAAGTAGCGATTCAATGTAGATAAGTGTAGAGTTCAACATAGTTCTATATTGAATAAAAAGAATATCTTTCCAACTAGTATTTAATTTAAATAATTTTATAAATGATTGGTAAGGTTGTTGTTGTTAGTTTGGTTTTAATTGGTTGTCGATTTACCAAACATTTCACTGCGTTCAAAGAAATTTTAAATAATGCAATCGAGGAGCCTTTTTATGAATTGCGATAATGGTTCGATTCAATGTTTTTTTTTTAATTATTGATGAATAGCAAACAAAATGATTTAATTTTATAAGCTGTCATGATTAAATTTAAATAAAGCTACTATTTTAAGAGAAAAAAAAAACTTTAGTGAGTGATTTTCTAATTAAAGCTAAAGCACGTCAATAAACCAGCATTTATTTAGCTACGATTAAACTAAATTAATTGAGATTCAACTAGATACAGAAAAATAATCAAAATGATTATTTTAGCTATTTGTTTTATAACTAAATAAATCATTTCAAATTATGTTTATGGAAGTTAAACGAGGGATATCCAAATCATTAAAGTTTATGATAAATGAAATCATCAACAGTTAAAAAATACGTGACAACCATGTTTAGCATTTTACTAATAAATCTATTTTATTGCAATTTCAGCCAGACAGAATTACATATAAAGTAATGTATAAGAGGTCATATGTGGGTTTTATAACATCGTAAAATTGCTACAGTAATAATTTGCAATACTAATTGAAAAGACGCAAAAGAATTATGATCAGCATAACAAGATAAGCTTTACAAAAAAACTAACTATTTTCAAATTCATCAAAATCGAAGTGTTACTTATCCAATAAATATAGTATAGAAGTTCTCCTGAATATTGAACATGAAACTATACATTTACGTGTGGATAAAATTTGTTAGTCAGGCGAGTTATAGATTTTAAAAGCAGAAACTAATTTTTGATGGAATTATTAATTATAAAATTTGAATTATTTGATCAATATCATGTAGATATTTAAATTATTAACCCTTTCGCCGTGAGAGGGTTTTCCGCAAGAGTGATGCTGCTTTACGAGCCAGTAAATCGCCCAAGTAAATATTGTCTCACACAAAAATATTCTCAGATTTTCCATTCATTAACGATAGAAATGTATTTAAAAATTTATATGATTTATTTACGCTTAAAAAAACTTAAAACCACAATAACAAATAATATATTTCAATTATTCAAATGAGAATGAGTTAACCCAAATTTGTGATACTAGATGAAGTCTATAGGCGACATTCATACACACGGAAGCATGTCGTCTATGGACGACGCTAGCAGCGAAAGGGTTGATATTATTTTATTTAATTTTTTAATTAATTAATTTCTGAATAAAAAATTTAAAAATCACCAAATTTGTCCGTAATAAGTTTATATGAAGACCAACTTTCCGAAGGAGAAAATGTTTTCATAAAAAAAACGATTTGTAAATTTTTTGTTTTTTCGACATTTCAAGCCATTCTGAATCGCAAGAGATGAAATTTGAATGAAGTATGTGTATGTGTATGTGAGCTGATTTTTGCCATTTTGTTGGTGCGTTTTCTCAAAAAAGGCTGACCTGAGTACAAAAATTTAAAAGCCATTCGCTGTAACTGGATAAGGACTAGCTTTTGTCAGTTTTGCGCTACAAACAGTCAAGCCGTTTCATTGTTAATAGCAGAAAAGTGAAACAAAATTTCATCTAAGTATTCATCCGCAATTCTGAATCGATTTTAAAAATTCAAAAACTAAAAAGTATTGGTTGGTAATCGAACTGATTAGTTTTTGGTAAAGATCCGCTGGCACGTGTTCTTGTAATTAATTGTTGAGTTTTTTTTGACGATTTTTATTAATTTTTTTTTGACGATGGATATCATGAATCTAAAGAACATTCTAAAATGACCCTGCGACTAGCCGTTTACTTTAAAAAAATCATCGAAGTTTGAAAAAATTAGTAGCGTTATTTTGGCGGTAAAGTTAATGCACTAAGACAGTTCCTCAAAAATGGGTTGAATTATATAAATTAGTTAAAATTTGGAATGACAAGCTACAATTTTTGGATATGAAAGTACACTAGTCTGTGCACTATATTTAGTATAATTACAAATAATTTAAATGTGTTGGAAAAATACAAATTTAAAATGGCAAAAATGGTTTACAAAGCGAAAGCAAAAACTATTTTCGAAATAAATTGGTGAAAATTTTATCTCAATATCCAAAATCCTAATTTCGGTGAATTAAGTCAATTATTAGACATTTCGGGAAGTTCATGCAACTTGCTTTAAGGCACAATGCCACTTTCAAATTAACAACAAAATATTACCTCAAACACAATCAAAATATATAGCCCCAAAAGAACAACAGCGGCGTAAATAACTCCATCATCCATGTCGATGGGGCTGACATCGTATCCGATGCTGAGAGGAAAATTGGCCTCGGCATTGGTGCGCATTCGAACACGGGCGACGCTGTCTGGGATCTTCCTGGACGGGTAACTTCCCAAAGTGAAGACGCGCCTTCTGGTAAGTTCTGGCACAATATCGAACAGATCTTCGGAGACTATTGGCAGGCGCCAGAAAGACGCATCGGAAATGTTCTACAAACAAACAATTTACATGTAATCAACTGATGCATAAATATTAAATTATAAATAGAAATTGCTAGTTTAATGTATAGCTTATTAGCCTAAACTAGTTATGTTAATAAGAAAGTTAAACTAATATTTGAATGTTAATGAAACGATGTTCTATAAATGACGTTATTACGTCAAGTAATTTTCCGGGGTTTAATTAAATATTTGCACTTGCTGACTTCCAGCAAACTATACATTGTAATGTATGTTGCTTGTCATCAATCAATATTTGCAAAATATAATATTGATAATTATAAAAATAATATTTATACAAATAAATTCGGTTTGTTCTATTTATATTTTCCAAGCACTTCCCATGTATACGTGGAAGAACAACTCAAATAACGACATTTTCCAGATCAATTCGACATTTTTTCAGATAAATTATATGTTAGTCATATTTGGGTGAAGCTATAGCGTTCTATATTAGGCATAGGCAATTTTGTAGTATCAGAAATAATATTTCAATATATTTCAGCCATTAATGTGCTGCATAAAATTGCTTTTCCAAAATTTTGGCCAAAACAAATTTTTTATTGAATACATTGAGTTTTTTTGATACAATTTTAACTAAATTATCTAATTAAGTTATAATGAGGCATGTATATTTTTTTCTGAAATAATCATTAATATTCAATAAAACGATCGTTAATATTCAATAAAAGTATTCAATAAAAAATTTGTTTTGGCCAAAATTTTGGAAAAACAATTTTATGCGGCACATATATGGCTGACATATATTAAAATATTATTTCTGATACTACAAAATTGCCTATGCCTAATGTAGCACTCCATAGCCTCAGGCATGTGACTGACATGGCGATTAACGTGTTAATGCCAATGATAAAAAATATTTCTCGTAATCTTAATCTCGTAAAGATAATTAATCTGGGAAATTTAAATGTACTTAATAGTAAGGTGACCATACGTCCCGGATTTCCACCTTGAGATATTTAGTAGTTAAATAGTAAAATTTGTCTCGGATTTAAATCTTTTGTCCCGCATTTTTGAAAATTGTAGGTAAATGAACAAAAATTGTGAAAACAAACAAGTGCTAATTTTTTCAAATTAACCATGAAGAAAATTGAATATAATTTTATACAAAGCTCATAAGCAAAAAAAAATGTATAGATAGAAAAATATAAAATAAGAAAATGATAAAAAAGTATTACATTTAATAGAATAATAAAGTTCTTACTAAAAGTCTGCAATTCTGATTTTAAAAAAATTGATTCATGTAAAAATTTATTTTTTTAAAATGGATTCAGTATTTTAAAGCTCACTACACCTCCCCCCTCCCGTCCTGAATTAGCATAACTAAAAATTACCGTCCCGATTTTGACTTCAAAAAAATATGGTCATCTTATTAATAGTGCCGTGCAGTTAAAAACATAAAATATTGTTCAGAAGTTTAACCAAATTAATAACAGTTTACATCATGTTAAATAACATGATTCTTTTAAATATTGACTATAAGAATGATTCTTAATATTATATGAAGTTGAAGGTATTATATTATATTTTAACATATATTACATGTATGTATAGAACTTCGTGCTTTTTCAAGTGAGATGCATTTGCAGGATCCACACTTTGAGAAACCTCCAAAATTTCCAACCATAGTTCAATATAATTAATCGACAAATTTCCATAATGCTCAGGTAAAAATGCTCCTGATAGTTCTATTTGTAATCTGGCACCATTCAATCTCTCTGGCAAAATGAAACCTGTAACAAAAGATTTGAAGAATTAAATAATGTAAAAATTAAATAATATTGTTTGCACAAGGTTGCAACCGATCAATACTCACTGCGAACTTTTCCTACTGGAATTGATATTTGCTTAAGAGTTTCAACTCTTTCATTTTTCGTCATCAGTATTGCGGTGAACAATAACCAACATCCCAGTAATAGGCCTATTTTTAAAGATTTTATCCAAGGTTTCAGCTAAAGAAATAAAATAATATTAAAAATCTGAAATTTTTATCTAAAATATTTAAGCAAAACTTTTTAAGGGCTTGAAAAACTATGGTGGAGTAACCTGCTTCAAATTATAAATTTGAATTTTTTTTTTAATTTCATCAAATCATCAATTGAAATTCAATATCATTAAATCATCAATTGAAATTAATATCTTACCTTTCTGTGACCAGTAACTTCATCTGTGTCTTGATCCAAATCTCCTTCAACAGTAGAAGCATCTCTATTTGCGGGTGCAGAAAATTGTGCTTTTTGCCTAAATATTTGAAAATATGTTAGTCACAGCATAAACTTTAAAATTTAATTTCAAGTAATACTTATGTTTTTAGAAATTGTGCTCTTTACTCAAAAATAATAGGTAATTTTGAGTGTATTTAAATATCAGGCAAAACAACATTAATGATTTTCTTAAAGGAAGTCACTTGTATATCTGGTTGCATTAATACTGCATAACAATGGATCATGTATAATCTAATGACAACATTCATTTGACTACTTGTGCATACTAATGTCGTCCATGGACGACATCCGCTTGGCATGATGTGTGTACAGATGTCGTCTATAGACGACATTTAGCGTTTCGGACATTGCTTCAAAATTTATCATTATGCATTAAACTATTGGAAATGTTTAACTTTTGTTGTAGTTTTTAGTTTATCAAAGGCGCAATTTTTAATTTATCAAGAAAAATCTTAAAATATATTATTGTGTCTATCCGTTCTGTAGTGCTACTGAAAACACTCTCGTAGCGAAGGAGTTAAATAATAAATATTTCATTATCAATACTATATTTAATATAAATAAAAATATCATTATCATTACCCATTATTTGGCCTAGACGCAACAGTTGCTACATTTATGGAAAGGTAATCCATCTTCCTACCAGAATTTTCATTTTCCAACCTATCTTCCTCTTCTTCGTTTGGATTATCATCATTGGGAAGCGGATCAATTTCATCGCAAACATCTATAATTAAAATCAAATTACACAATGCAATTACATCATATAAAAATGGTATTTTATTATTTTGTTACTTCCTCGATTGTTGATATGCTCAAAATAACGATCATTTTATAGTCTATTGATTAGATAATATTCAAATAAAGCCGCTGAGCATTGAAAATGCATTAATTAAATATAATGCCGCTCAAATTTCTTGTAATGGTGCAGAACAATAGTTAATACAAGTGCGTAGTGGAGTCTGGTTTGCTTTATTTATTATCTTAAACTAATTAAAAAATGAATGGACACTTAGATTCATACTTGTTTTGAAATGACCTTCAATTTTATAGTCCTGCTTCAAAAAAGCAACAAAGGGATTATAATAATATTTATCGCCAATACTATCGATAATTTTCAGAATGTTATTACCGTATACTGATATTTTTACGGTGTTTACATGTAGTATCTTCTTAGAAATGTTGAATTATATAAAATAGAAAATTTATACTATTTTATTATAATGATAAATAATAACAAATCTTGATAATTAGAACAAAACTATATCGAAATTTATTATTCGAATATCTTGACAACTAAAAATTATATTTATATTATATTTGGTGAGTATTGTTTTCCCTTTTACCGTATCAAAATTTATACCAAAAATCTTAAAAATAATTATAAAAATAAATTGGTGTGCACGGAGCAATATATTATAACAAAGTTTATTGCGCCTGGATTCTGTGAATGGTCAGATTATTATTTTTAAGGCTTATTTATAATCCTAAATTTTACTAGCCTTTTTAAAACAGATGTAAAAAATATTCAGTATTTAAAAACACCCGTTCAATAATAAAACTATCCAAATAGACAATTCAACAAATATTGCTTTTTTCTGCTTTATAGCAATATAACTATATTGACAAATTATTGCTTCGATGACTGGTTCAGCAAATAAAAATATTACTTAGTTTATTGCACCTATTTTTCAGGAAATACATAAAATTCACTTTAGAATAATAAGTGAAAAAATAATTTTTTAAAATAAAATCCAGAAATCGTTATAAATTTATTGTCCAAAGAAAAAAAGAATATTCTGTTTGTTGACATACATGAATACTTTAAAAAATGAGGTGAGATTTTTTAAAGTGTTCATGTATGTCAACAAACAGAATATTCTTTTTTTCTTTGGACAATAAATTTATAACGATTTCTGGATTTTATTTTAAAAAATTATTTTTTCACTTATTATTCTAAAGTGAATTTTATGTATTTCCTGAAAAATAGGTGCAATAAACTAAGTAATATTTTTATTTGCTGAACCAGTCATCGAAGCAATAATTTGTCAATATAGTTATATTGCTATAAAGCAGAAAAAAGCAATATTTGTTGAATTGTCTATTCGGATAGTTTTTAATTATTCAAACTCAAAGTAATGTAGAGTATATGTAAATTTACATTTTTGCAAAAATTTTATTTATTTGTTAACTTCCCGTAGAGTAAGTTATTGTAATCGTGTAAAAATCGAAATTGAAAATTTGTACATTTCTTCGCGTTTTGAAGGTTTCTGAACATTTTGGCGTTTGTATATATGGATACAATTTTCCGTCCACGTTTTCGGGCGCAAGAACCGACCGATTTGAATCGTTAAAAAAAGATTCGATTCCTATTGATAGGGAGATGTGCTGATTAGATTTTGGCAAAAGTAGATCCAGCCGTTTTCGAAATACCGAGCTAAATGTGCAAAAAATGGCAGTTTTTGAGAGAGATAAGCATCCGATTTGAAAGATTTGAAGGACTTTCTGGTGTGTTGATGAAACGATTGTTTTTGGAAAAAGGAAGAAAATATTTTTTGAATATCGAAAATAATTCGAATTTTCAAATTTTTAATTGGTACGGGAAGTTCCAGCAATTTGGCCTCAAGGCATGATGCCATACACCACTAATTTTAATTTTTTTTTAATGGTGAAGATAAATCAAATTTGATCTTGATGTGGGCAATTATGTCATATGTATGTGAATTTAAATATATTTCATATTTATATATTTTGTTCCGATTACAATTTCTTAATACATCTGTGAATAATCAAATGGAATTGAATTTGGAATAATCAAAATTAATAATTTCAAAAAATATTTCAAAAGTTGCACCGAAAATAAGAAAAATAATCCGAGTCGACGCCATAATTCTATGACTCGTTTTTCTTAACCAAATTCTGTAGTAAGTGTTCACACATCAAGTTCTTGCATTCGTGTAAATATTTAATTTTCAATATTAATTTTTGAATATCAATTGAATGATTTAAAGATAGTTACATACCTCCAAGTCCCAGTCTCTCATGCTCCTGTCGAAAACTGGCTAAACTCGGATCTTGCCTGATTTTCTCCGGCAGAGTTCTCCAGATTTCCAAGGCACCAGCAGTCACCTCACTAACAGGAACAGGACGATAATTAGAAATTGAATTATTTAATTTTTTGGTCTTAGGACTTTTTTGAAAATTAGAATTAGTTTTAGTTTTAGGGGTATCACTTTTAAAATTCCCGTTCATTTTGGAGACGAGATATGGGGTAGAGTAAAAATCTTTTTAAATTTGATAAATTTCAAATAACACTTAAATCATGATATTAACAATTGCACATAATTTCATGTATCATCACAATGTTTTCAATTTAATAAAAAAATAATTTAAAATAATTGAAGCTTTAGATAACCGATCTTTATAATTTATGATATTACACATTCAGTATTTTATGTTCACTCTACGTGTGTCACCACTTATAACAGTCTAATATTAACAACAAAAATTAACAAACGGCCCAGGATTTTAAAAATTAGCACGTATTGAGTAATTTCTTGATCATACACAATATTATACGTCCTATTGTCTTCTATAGATAATAGGAGCCAAAGTTCCTCCGAGACTTGAACTCTAATATTTGTTTTTGAGGATTTTTAATGTTTTTAAAGTATGTATGTATCATTCTTATCAAAAGTAGCCGATTTAAGTGATTGAAAACTAGGCCAGGAAATACTCTATTTTTTCATAGCTCTGATTACAAAATAAATTCTCATTATGAACTCAAAACCGAATATTTAAAAGAAAAATAACTGTTGATAAAGCTCTTTCAGATTAAATTTAATTTTTTTTGACCTAACACTTTATTAATTAAAATTAATCCACCCGGAGTACCTATTCGTTCAAAACCAATATCGAACTAAGCCTACAAATACAGTAGCTGTTTCACCGATGTTTAGAAAAACTTCAAACAAAAATGTGATAAGGAAAATCAATATTTATTTATATATTGTGTTAGGTACATAAATTACGATATATGAAATTCATGGAATGAGTAGCTCAATATAATGTGATCAGAGGTCGTATAACACCTAGTAAATTGTCATTGTTAGAAGATTGCAGTAGAAATCGAACTTTTCTACAACTTTTCTAAAAAAAAAATAAAAGACTGGATTATCATGGACCATTGGAAGATGGTCTTGTTTACTAGCAAAAGATGTGCGAAGTTGTAAGAACAAATACAATGTTTTCGACTTATCCATATTTAGCTAAAAATATGTCTAGATATCATTGTCTCCCAAACGACTTGTGTAGATTTGCATAATAAATTATGTTATAAACTAATTTGCATTTTTAAAGATATACAACCAATTTAAATTAGACTTAATAGCAATTCCTGTCTGAACAAATAACATATTTTCATTAGTTTAAATAATAATAAAAAAATTGAAACTTTTCACCTGAGGATATACCAAAACAATGTAACACTTCAGAAGTAAGAAAGTGCAACTCAAGAAATAAGTAGAATTTTGGGACTAACTCAAAATATATCCTAATATACTTTTCAGTATAGATTATTTTTATTATTTAAAATTATATTAATTTCAAATCTCGTTAAAAAAATTAAGCTATGGTGAAGCTAAATATGTAAAAGTGTTATAAAAATATTTTATTAATATTCACATTCGGTTTTATTCATGAGGATAACTGTATATGTTTAATCACATTAATATTGATACATTTAAGAACAAATGTGAAATTCATAAACAAAAGTTTGTATTGATGTCACCGTTAATTTGTATATGCAATACAAATATTTGCTTCACTCATTTGGGAGAATAATTTTTAAATAAACATACATTCTGTTATCTTAATGAATCAGTCAAATAATATACAACAAGTGTAGTATAAACTTCGCATTTCGAATAAAAAATCAGAATTTAATAAAAAATTATAATTTTCTGTACCAATAAAAATTTATAATTTAAGATCAAAGTGCCCAACATTTCTTCAAACGACAAATGATTTTAAATAGAGAAACAGAAATAATTTAACAAATCAAAGCAGTTTATCATAACTGTAAAGATTATTTTCGAATTATAAACAATGGCTATTTAAAAATTATTAAAATAATTTATAGAATATGGTTGAGCAGGTATAAGAAAACAATTTTGTCCTAGAGCTCTGCAAGCAAAATTTGCTGCAATTTTTTTTGTGTCTTCTTAATAATATTATTGCGAAAATTAATTTTAATTAAATTAACGTTTATCGTTAACAGCATGATAAAAAATTATATATTCTATGGCCGGTCTGAAAAATATAGGTATCATAGAAATTTTTTTGTTCTGTAAAATAACACTAATGTTTGTAATATGAACAAAAACAAGTATCCCTAAATATTCCTTATATATTTGTTTCGTAGTCTGCAATTATTGTTTCTAATTAATGTATAAATAAAATTTTGAATTTTACCTATTTTTTTCAACAAATATTATTAAATTCCCTTTTTTTTATATATCTCTACGTTTCAGGAGTTTCTGAACATTTTGGCATACCTTAGAAAAAATGGATGTATGTGTGTGTGCGGATACAAATTTTCATCGACGATTTTGCGAACACAGATCAACCGATTTGAATAATTCAAAAAGCATTCGATTCCTGCTGATAAGTAGACGTGCTGATTAGTTTTTTGCAAAAGCAGGTCTAGCCGTTTCGGAGATACGGGGCATTATGTTGCAAAAATGGTTTTCAGTTTTTGAGGTAACGGTGAGTACAATTTAAATAATTTAAAAAACATTTTACTTGTATTGACGGAATGAACAACTAGTAAAATTTTTGTGAAGGCAGGCCTGCCGTCTCCGGAGATCCAATAAAAAAAGTTAAAGAATCTGCTATTTTGTGGTCAAAAATGATTATTAGACATATGTATATCGTATTATCAGATATTTCATAAAGATTATAATAATAAGTACAAATTTTGTGTATATATGTATGGGTTTCATACCCATGTTTACACGTTTGACTACTACGCGGCGCTTATGCGCTTTTATATTTTGATTCAAAATCAGCTATGCAGCGCGATTGCTTAAAAAAAATGTTCAGAATTTTCAAAAAAATCAAAATATAAATCAAATCATTTTTTTCAAAATTGACATTTTTTTCAAAAATTTCAAAATTTCTCAAAAACCCAATTTTATAAAAGTTTTGCAAAGTTTTTTTTAATAATTTAGTTTTTGGTACGGGAAGTTCTAGCAATTTGCCTTAAGGGTTTTTATTTGCCTTACGATGCCAAACAACACTAGTTTTTATAATTTTTTTGTTTTTAATAAAAAGATGCTGTGTATGGGTGATCATCAAATTATAACAGGGTAATATTTTCAAGGCCTATTGTTTTGTCATATTATAGATTCCAGAAAAATATATCAGTATTAAATATGATACATGAGTTTCAGTTATAAGAAGAGTTTGCAACAAACCATGTAATTCTTTCACTTCAATGAGTAATACTGTATAGAACCTAATAGTTCAAGTGCAATATATGACGAACATCCTTTCACAAGAATATCCTTCAACTTACTCCATTTACGCAATTGTATGTTAAATATTTTTCCATTCCTACAATTTTCCCAACAATTCTTTCCTTTCATAAAAGGCAGCTTGATTACTAATGCTCGGCAATATGTGTTAAGTGCATTTGCTTCCATAAATATCAAGGACATAGATTAATTTAGAATTATTGTAACAAAGACTGTGCCATTAACTGCACCGACTGCAGATAATCTGATGTATGATTGCTTAAATAAATAATATAATTATTTCATGTATTATTCAACTCACATTTAGAGAATGATCTAGAACTACCGGTGATAAATAATCAACGTCATTTATAATTGAATATTGGACCAAAGATTCTTAAACTTGATCATAGGAAATAGAAATATTTGATAGCAAGTTTTTTAATACAATATCTGAATTCCATCAAAAATATAAAATCGTTAGCTGATCAATATAAATTACTAGATGATTTAAACTTAATGCAAACAAAGATAGTGCCTAAAATTTCTGGTTAGTTAACTACCAAAAAATTGTTGTAAATACTAATAAAAATTGAATATTAAAATTGACTGAGAAAGTTTATCAAATATTGCAAGGATTAGTGATATGTACTTCCCGAAGGGTAAGTTATAGTAATAGGCCAAAAACGATAATGAAAATTTTTGCATAACTTCACGTTTCAGAGATTTTTGAACATTTCAGCATACCTCAGAAAAAATATATGTGCGTATGTGTGTATGTGTGGAGACAACTTTTTGTCGATGTACCGGTTTGAAAAATTCAAAAAGCAGTCGATTTCTATTGATATGGAGATAAACTGATTAATTTTTGGCAAAGGCAGTTCCAGCGGGTTTGGAGATATGGAGCAAAAAGTGCTAAAAATGTCAGTTTTTAACGGATCAACCGATTTCAATGATCTAGAAAACATTTGATTCGTAATGAGCGGGAGAAGTGGTGATTAGATTTTGGCAAAGGCAGGTTCAGCCGTTTCGGAGATACAAAGCTAAATGTGCAAAAAATTGCAGTTTTTGAGGGAACAAAGCATATGATTTGAATGACTTAATTAACCTTCAGCTTGTGTCGATTGCTTTTGGGTAAAGCATTTTTTTTTAAATTGAATATCGAAAAATAATTCGGATTTTAATTCTATTTCTAGCTAAAGTTCTAGACATCACTTATTATACGTCAAATAATCATGATAATTTATTTGAAAATATTTAATATTCCTCGAACTCCATTAGGGTACGGAAGTTCCAGCAATTTACCTGAAGGCACGATGCCAAACACCACTAGTTTTGAAATTAGAATAGATGTCCACATTTACATGTTTTCTTTCGAATTTTCATATAAAGACTCTTATAATTAGTTAAATGTTCTGAATTATTATATAACATTCTATATCAATAAATTCTTGTTTTAAGTACTAAGTTAATTATGAACCAAAAATCAATTTAACATATATATATATTTTTTTTTTGAAGACTGGTGAAACAATGAACTTCCAAGACTTGATTTTTATCTAGAATACTTTAACTAGAGCAGCCTACTGAAATAGTGTATAATAAATATGCATATAAACATAAAATATTTAAAATTAAATTTGTAAAACCAATATTGCTTATATTTTATTATACTTGGTATTAAATACATAGCTTGTTAAATGCAACAAATATAAATATTGATCGCTATCTTACAATTATTTTAACAAAACCTTAATTTCTTCTAATTCATCAGCAACGTATAAAAACATTTTCACAGTAGAACAAGTTTTATATAATTTACATGATAAATAAAATATTCACTTGTAAAGTATAAAATCCGAGAATTTGTTATCAATATTGATATACATCAGTTTCTTTTCATCATTCAATTACTAATGTTCTTGTGAGTCACTTTTCTGTTTATTTAAAATTCTAAAGTTGCTTCAAACATATCTTGAATATGTTTCAAGTAATTATCTATTCTAGATTCAGGTTTCAGATCTAGATCTATTACAGAAACCCTGGCCATAAATCTTTGGCCATTGAGTTCTACAATTTGATTTTCGAAATTATCTAGTTGAACACCTCCTGGCATGCTTTCGCAAAATCCGTTTAAACTATCGCCACAGCAAAGGGATTTAAAATTAGTAGAACTTTTATTATTTTTAGAAATTACTTCATCTTTAATTCTTCTAAAAGTCAGCATCACCGAACAATCTTTAACAGTAGCTGCCATCATGGACCTTTCCAGATCCGTGAGATCATTCAAGGATCTTTTGGGGTCCTCTAAAACCTTTAAAGTTCCTTCAATATATTGATAGCCTTTACCTTTTGATAGAGTTTCTAAAGTGACATCACAGTCCAAAAGTTGCAGTCTCAATAATCTTTCCAAAATGCAGCCTTTTGGTAAATTTGATTGATAATTATTTCTTTGGCAGGTTTTTAAACCAAGTTCATGTAATTTTCTTAAGTACTTATGTTTAGAACTATCATAATGGACGGTTTGGTTGTTTAAACATGTTGCATTGAGTTCATCTTCTTTTGCATTAAAATTTTTTAATAATGTAACGCATATAAGACTGGCCAATTCGCTCAATACATTAAACGGTGGCTTAAAATTAATTTGTTCGGAATATCCAGAATCTGAACAATGTGATGTTTTTAGTTTCTTGTGGGAATTGGACTGAGATTCGTGAACATAATTTTTTAATGTATCACCAATGTTATTTGTATTATACTGTGAATAGTCTACTTGTTCCGAATCGTCACTGCAATCGTAGTTGGTTTTTTGCATAAGTTGTCCATCAACATCCTCCTTTAAGATTTGGGAATATTCTTTAACCATGTTTTTGTCTGCATTATCAGTAGTAAGATTTGTTTGAAATAAGTCTTCTAAAAGCATTTTCAAATCACTACGATCCACAGCATGACCATTACGAAATACTTTAAAATTATTTTGAGGCACTTCGATAATACTTCTGAGAGCTTTGGTCATTCTTTGAATGTTACCAGAAAAGAGATCCAAAGGGCAGTATCCGCTGATTTTATTGATCTTTCCTTTTTTGAATTTCAGAAATTGCGTTAAGCAATATGGACATTTGGCATATTCTGAACTTTCGTTTTCATTTATTACATAAGGTGTCCAGCCGTGTTTCGGCTTTAATTCGAACGTAAAAGTGTCTCCATAACATAAATAATCCGTATCCGGCATAAGTGTAAAATCTGGAAACATTACCGCATATTCGGAAGCTACAAGTTTGTGTCTCCTATATTCAGGTCTTATTATATCTAACTTTTGATTTAGTTTCAATAAATTGCAGCTAGTGAGATCAACAATTTCGATTTTTTCATTGTCCCTTATTGTATAACAAGTTCCCAAAAGTTTTGTGAATGTTTTCCACCAGCGCGACTCCCAAACACATCGTTCCAAAATAGATCTGGATATTTTTATCTGTTCGTCTAATTTTGTACCCATGAACTCTTGAACAACATTATTAGAAATATCATGTGAAGATCCGTTCTGAACAACATTTTGTTCAGAACAGTTATAAGACGCAGGTGATGCATTATTTGGCACATTTTCGCCATTGTATTCTACCAAATTTGGTACATTTACAAGTTCTTTCTTATCAAATAACAAATCTGGTATATCATCAGTTTTACCTAGTTTTGGCAAAACAGGTGCATCAGATTTCAAAGATTTCTTCAATCTCAACACCTTGTTCTGTCCATTAAGTGCTAGAATAACATTAGCATTTCCTTCTCCTCTATAAGTCCAAGAATCACTGCATTCGTTTTTCGAATTTAGGCCCAAATCCAATGTTCTTAACTCCATTATCCTGTGGAAATTCGTACGACTTGCAAATTTACGTAAATTAATACATAAAAATTATTCAATATAGAGTCATTTCAAATATTTGAATCTCGCGCGCGCATGAACTTTGAATCGCTTACTATGAAACTAAGATGGCGGCCGTGCAATGGCAATGGAGCCGTAACACAAAGAAACTATGTCGTGAAATGTCAAAATGTGTGGAAAAAGTTAATTTACAATCGAACATATTTATACACAAACAATGTTTTACCATCAAAGGTCAGTCTTTAAGTTGTTTATTTATTTTTGAATACAATACAAGAAAATATTTTATTTAACACCTCTACACAAATTCACTCGCTCATAACCACACTTTTCTTGTTTCACTAACACTAATACTAGCTTCCATGATTTATTGATTGACTTTTTATAAAAACTCGTTGCAAGTATTTAAATTTAATTTAATACAAACTAATCGATAACTTGTTGAAAGTGTTAAATGAATATTTAAACCGTACAATTCTAGTTTAATTTATATATTGAGCGTTCGCGTACTTGCACAAGTAAAGGAGAAGCAATATGCAGTGTGGAAACAAGAGGCCAGCCTAGTAGACAGCTGGCCGAAATTGTTATATTTATAAACTCAAATATGCGTCAATCGTTTGTTCCCAGAAAATATTAATAGTATTTTAGAGAGCAATGTTCGTAAAATTATGAATAATCTATTTACAAGGCGAGATAAGAACGTATAGGTTATGACAGGATATTGATAAAGAAATTCGTTATCTTTACAGTATATTTGAAATTATGTGCATGTCAGTGAATTGTGTAGTTTTGATTTGTCAGGTTTATAAGAATTAAAAAATAATAGTAAGTAAATTCTATGAAATTGAAAAATTGGCGTGAGCATTATTTCTGTATGCTATATAATATGAAAATGCAGAATCAAATAAAACTTTGGTTAGAGACAATTTGTCACTATTATTACGCCTGAAGTTTCTGCTATTGGAGTCATGCTTAACTATTGTCTTAAAAATGTCATTTGACTAGATTTTTTAGTAGTTAAAATCTACAAATAAGGTAAAATTTTTTATTGGCTAAAAAATATTTAAGACGGATTTAAATGTTTTGTCCATTATTTTACCTGTTCTCTGTTTTGGAATTATTTTAAAATGTTGGTAACATTGAATTATATGCTCAACTTAACATGTTGGTACCCTGTTGATATCTGT